TTTCAAAGAAGTGAGCACGATAATATCGATTGAATGCATGATAAAAAAATGGGTTATTAAAAGAGATTTTTTTCTCGTCGACGAGAAATATATTAATGAAAACTTTCTATAGAACACTAAAAAGAATCCACATATTGATTTATCCTTGCATTTAAGAAATTTATTAATAAATCCTTCAAGGATTTATGCCAATGTTGTCAACCCTTAAGGTTTAATACTCGACAAGTTTAGAAAACTATAGATTTGCGAAAGTGCAAATGGTATATAATGATTTCTTATTCTACGATTTTCAGATAAGAGTAGATTCTTTAATCAATATCAGTAGATCTTGAGGGTGTGGGTATATATCTTCTTTCAACTCATACCCCTAATCGTACTTTTGTCAAAACACATTTTGCTCAGGTAATTCTACTTCAATATCTGGATAAAACAACTCAGTTTAGACTAAACATACTCAAGTCTATGGATTCAAACTATATTAATGCTAATAATTTTTTAAGAAACGGTTTCAATGATTCAATTCTCATCTCCATTTCTCACATGACATTTTCTATTATAAGAAATATCAGAGTAGAATGACAAACAGTTTCTATAGTCACGAAGAGAATGAATGAAAATTTTATCTTCGCATTCGATTAAGCTTCTCATAATTTATTTCATTGATATTCTATAAAGGTTTGATTAATACTGTAGAATAAATATACTTTCAATGTATTTCTGCTTATATATATTAAATATTAAGCTATAAGACAGACAATAAGCACATACAACATAAAAATCGTTGACTTCTATTTTGTATCTATTATTTTCTCAACATCATCTAATATAAATGTAAGTTCAGTTAGTTCAACAAGTGAATCAATACTATCAACATGTCTACTAAAAGTTTGTACATCGCATATAAGCATTGTTAAAGCCATGAGCCAATATATGATACTATGAAAATATTTCACAGCTTCATAACAACCATATCTATAACTAAGATATTTCCATGTAACTTCTGCATATTTATTTTGAATATGAAATATTGTAGAAGAATTTGTTGAATCTATTGAAATATTTGGAGAATATAAATAAGTAGTTTTTGATAAAGAAAATAATGAAAGTGCTAATTTAAATATCATGATATCTGGATTAATAAATTTCATTGGCCATTGAACAAGAGAGATTCCACAATTGTCAAACATTGCTGACATAGTTTTCAAAAAAGAATCTAGACTAAATAAATCAAAATGATGTATAATAAATATAGAAGCCATGCTAGATATATTATCTGCAGCACTGCGAAGTAAAATGGAACGATCAGTAAATGATAATTTACAAATATCATCATTCAAACGAAGATATCTTCCTGTTGTTTCATAAATAGATAATAAATAATTTTCTACAAGCCTTTGGTATGTTACGTTTACTGGCTGTAATGAATTATGTGTATCTGCCAAAGATTTACCAAGGAATACAAGTTGAGATTCATCAAAACTATTATATAAATTTGAGAGAAGTGTCCATTGACTCGTAGTCAATAATGAATGATCTGGCTTTAAACAATTTAATATTGGCAACTAAAAAAATAAATAAGAAAAATATTTCGTACATTTATATCATCTTACTTTCTCTGATTGATATCGTGGTTCTACTTTAACTAACGATTTTGTTTTTGATTTCTTCGGTCTTGATGGTCGAAATTTGTCTGTAGTCATTCCATATTGAAAACATTTCTTCAGTCGACATGATGCACACATATGACGATTATCTTGTTTTATTTCACAATAGCCACCCAAATGGCATTTAAATGTTTTCTAAATCATACGATTAATTTTTATTTAAAACTTAAAGAAAGATAATCAAAACTAACTTGTTCAATAGTAGCATTTCGTCTAAAAAACATTTTACATGAATGACATGTAATAACGCCAAAATTTACATAGTGAGCAGGAGCGCCACATATTCGACATGCTGATACATTTTGTTTTTTTGTCAATGGAAGATTTAACACTGTATTTGTAGTTGACATTTTTATTTGTATTTTAAAAAGATGATATGATATTATATAATTGCTAGGAAAAAGAAAATGTTATTGACGCGACGTACTAATACCCTTACGTTTTACACAGAATGAAAAAATGTTTGTTTCATCCCATAGGTTTTTCTTGCAGAAAAGACAAAATTAATATTTTTACTTTTTCCATTTATTTCCTCGTCGTCTCCCTTAATTTTTGTATTTTATATATCGGAAATGTCTCTTCACTATCAGTAGAAAACGCTCTCCATAAATTCATTTTTTTTTATATAAATTTATTAAAGACACTAATAGAAAATATAATTAAAATATTATAAGCGACTATGAAACTTAATCTTAAAAGTTAATATTATACATCTAGACAATATGTTTATGAATATTATTCTTTTATAATTATAAATAACACTTATGGAATTAGAGGATCACAACAAATTGATATAGTCTTATGAACAATATTCGTATTCAAAGTCATTCATCAGTGTTCAATGAATAATTATTCATATATCGAATAGTAAACAAATACAGATTAATTCCTATGTCTGAAATTTAACTTTACAATAAATAAAAAAGTATTTTTAGCGATTCTAATATATTTACTTTTTATTATTTCACTATTATCAAACCAGAAGAGTGAAATAGCGAGATTTAAAGAGTGTGTACTTCAAAAAAGTTTTAAAGTAGATGACGTCTCGCTTTGTCCCTATTCTTGAAAGTTCATTTTATGTTGTAAATATTTTCAAAGAACTCAATTCATCAAATGAATGATTTCTAGATAAATAAATTCCGACTCTCTATTTTATATTAAACGAAACTATGCCTAAGAATTTTTCAGTTAATCAAATCTCATTTATTATTAAAAAATTCAAAATGTTATAGAAAATGATGTAATTATCATGATTTGATCTTTATTTTTTGAAACTTAGTTCTGCAAAAAATTCGATTATGAATTAGTTAAAACTAGAGAAGTGATGATGATCATTTAGTCATAAACATATAGAATCCGACACGTTTCATTCATGATTATTATTCAACGTTTTAATAAAATCTTCTTATACCTATTACATTTTGCCATTAACACGCATATTCTTAATTCTACTCATTTCATTTTTTTATAAATGTAATCAATCCTTTCATGACTAAGGAAATAATACATGCATCATTATAATCTATGAAGAAAAATAGTGAAATTTGAATCATGAACTTGGGTGTTCCTAAACAGATGATTTCACATGAAAAGACAATTTTTAATTTCCACAATATGTTCACTGTATTCACTTGTATACGTTTTTGCATCATGAAAACATTCATTCGTAGACATCTCATACATGAAATTAGTGTTGTGTTATGAAATTCACGTAATTTGATGATATTATAGTGTGCGTGTGTGTACTAGAACGTAAGAATCAATATTTTTCATCAAAAGGTGTATCAAATGACATTTACCCATTAAGAGTTGTAGTCACAAGGTGAATATGAAATTATATTTAGATGTTTTCGACACTATCAAACAAATCAAAGAAAAGACATTGATAATAAGTGTAAATTTCTTATTTTTGTTGTATTGCATGAAGAGTAATAAAGCGTTACTTATTTCTTCCCATATATTTCTCTATCACATATGCATGTCAGGTATTGTCACGTGAGGATAGTAATGAATTGTTTTTGTCTAATAAAAGCAGTTTTCTTCGTTATTTTGCCTTTATATATATACACATCTTTTCTCATAATTTCACAAACCAGTTCTCATCGTACTTCAGTTTTACTTCACTTAATATTATTACTATTAATATGCCAGCCTGTTGTCGTTCATCATGTTGCGGATGCGGTTGTGGTTGTTGCAGCAGTCCTTGCTGTAATTCATGCTGTAGTTCATGTTGTGATCCATGTTGTGATCCTTGTTGTGGTTCTTGCTGTGGCTCTTGCTGTGATTCATGCTGTGGTCCTTGTTGTTGTGGTCCACGATGTTGTGTACGTACCACTGTGTGCTGCTGCAAACCAGTTTGTAAAGTTATCAGAAAGAAAACCGTCACCGTTAAAAAATCATGCACCAAAGTTTGCTGTTGCTGAATTAACATTTTTGTTCTTTTTCTATTAACTGATTCAATATCTAATGTATCAATGTTAGAGTACTCTCTAACAATATTCGTATTATTTTTTCTTTTTCTTGTTTTTCTCTGTTTTGACAAGTCAGAGAGATACATTTAAATCATTCTCTCTCTCTTTCTCACCTGCATGTGTCTGGAGAGGATGAATATGAATAGCTAATTTTTTAAAATAAAATCATTTGGTGGATAAGGAAAATATTCTTCTCTTCACTCGATCAATTCAATTACAAAAAGACCATCTTGAGGGTGTGGGTGTATGATTAATACAATATCTAAAGCCACAGTCACACTCGCCGACTGTAGTATCGTTCAAGTTTCATGTTGCCGTTGCACAAGATTCATTATTAACTATTACTTGAGAAGATAAAAATCTATCGCCTAAAAAATATTATAATTGGAAATTAGGAGTTGATTGAACAAGAAAACAAAAATTCTTATATATGAAGTGAATTTATAAAATAATATATTTTACTTGACAATAAAAAATAAGAAATATTAATAGTAAAATTTTATCATCATTTTTCTTTTTAACGAAGAGTATGCAACAAGAGATATATCCAAATGTCTTTTTGTATTCTTTGAACAGCTAACTTGATAACATTTTCAAAGGTATTTACTACCATTTTACAATTAATGTCTAGTTAAGTTTTGATAAAGAATAAAGATTACAATATCAATTTATTTACACATAGCACATGCGTCACATCGAAATATTTACTTAGATCAAATATGAATTCATGCTTTGATAAAATTTATGCTGGTTTTTTGTGAATACAATGCTTTGGTTGTACTTTTATTAAGTATCATCGTATTTTAGCAAATACTTTTTTTCTTTTTCTACCAAAATTGAGTGAAGAGAACCACGTACCTTGCACTAGACGTCATATACTATAGAATATAAAAAATAACACATACTTTTACACTATTATTTTCTTAAGTGTTGATTGCGACGTTTGTTTCCAGCCAGTTTGATATCAAATTAATTTTGAAAACTAATGTGCTGACGTCAATAATATTAATTTAAATCGATATGCGTAGAATGTAAAATGAAAGTTCTTGATATAAAATTAATTTTGGTTGAAAAAACACTATGATTATGAGTTATATATATATATACTTTTTGTCTACTGAATGCCATTCATATAATAAAATTCATTTACTGAGTAAGACATAAATTATAATGAATATTAAAGTATTAATTCGATGGTTGTATGAAAAAATATTGACTTATAATCTTTTCATACCCGAAGACAATGAAGAAGTAAATCATACACCAGTAACTATTCAACATCAAAGATATGCAACTAGACTCTATATTCTTCTTCTCATATGTAAGTATATACGACTGAAGATAATTATTATTGTTACACGGGATTTTTTTGTTGTTCTAGTGTCTGTGTACGTTATCTTCTTCACAGTTTTTGTTGATCCACAAACTGAAACGGTAACAATTTCGGATATTACTCCATCTTTATTCGATCAACTTCGACATGATCATGGTGAAACACTTTCATGTCCATGTTCAACAACAATAATATCCTATGAAAACTTCGTTCTCAATACTTTATCAACAGATCCTATTTGTTCAAGTATTTTTGTTAGTAAACAATGGATACAATCACTCTATATACCATTTGCCAGTTCTTTTCTTGTCATGGACTTTCGAACAACAGCTTATTCTCAAGTAAGTTTCATTAACTCTATCGTTATGTATCTACTAGAATTTGTTTTTTCTGAATTTAGTTTGAATTACTTGCTGCATTTTGTTCATTTTCTCAAGAATTTGTTTCTCAAGTTCTTACTGATATTGATCAACAACAGTTGCTTACCATTGAACTTCTTGTAGAAGATGAAGTTCGATCTCAAGTAATTGAAAATATAAAACTTATTCGGGCGAGTACATATGTACAAATAAGTTCATCTTTAAATTTCATGCAAATAATAACGCAATCCAGTTCATTGATCTCTGCTTTGAATACAAATGCACATTTATCAATAACTGAGGAGGATAATGAAACATTTTATTTAGCTATAAGCCCTACAATTTACTATCGCAAGAATATGCCCTTGTTTGTTTTTGATACAGACATATACAGTTGCAACTTAGTGAACTCACTTGTACCTAGTGGTTTCTATTCAATACCATATGGCTTTGGTGATCTTTTTGATGACTACTGGCCTGATATTCCCTTTTCTCAAACTTCTCCTAACATTTCTGGTGTTGTTGATGGATTTTTAAGTGGTTGTACTCCATTTGATGGTCTTCTTGCCAGTACACTCGATTGTTTATACAGTGATCAATGTCTCGAACAACTAGTAGATTATTTTCCAAATCTGAACGAAGTATGTATATCATAATAACATTTACTTCATATGAATGTCTTTTGTATTTTAGACAAATTTTAATTTCAGCGATTCTCATCTATTATCAAATCGTCAAAATAATTCTTTATACGAACGTTTAACTAATCTCTTTATTGAAGATTGGTCATCTACAATCAATTATTCAGAATATTTTACTAATTGTGCACCGCTTCTCTGCACATATACTACAACTAATCAAAACAGTTTATCCTATACTATTATTTTCTTACTTAGTCTTTAT